GGAGTCATTGCAGTAACTATTTCGTAGGGACGAAGACGACTGAACAGAACAACCGAAACAAGTCCTTGGGCCTTTCTGAGCCCTACGAACACATCTCCTTGCGTGGACAGACGTTGTAGAAGTTGCACCATCCCACCACCTGCGTGGGAGCCCAATGCATGGCGCGTCCAGGTATGAAGCTAATGGGCGCTAAACCGCCCATTGCCTAATTCAGTCCCACGAAGAAATCCCTTCTGAATAAATGCTTGAGTGTTCAAGTGCGCCCATTCAGAATGGTACGTAGGAAACGGGTTTCTCGAGCAACTCGAAGTTTCCCCCAAAGAATCCTCAAAGCATCCGTCTCATGAACTCCTAGAAGTCTGAGGAGATTACTAGCTCAGCATTGCTTTCCTTCCACGAATGTTTCGGAAAGCGTATATAAAAAAGCGAAAAACAATAAACCGTAAAAGGGAAGGGGGTCGTATTAAGCCACGGAGGGCGAGGGTGGTACGGACTCGACCAAAACCCCAACGCTCGATGGGTCCTGACATTAATACGCACATACACTTCTCCATTGAAAGCACTCCATCTGAAAGTTTCCAAAGATGAATTATGGTTGATACGGTCGCGATCAGTCGGGGCGGTGTCAGAAGGGGCGGAATCTGCCCGCCTCCGGTTCCTTTTCAATGAGCGGTAAGGGGTCGATTCAGGAAGAAAACAACCAGTGGTGATTACATAGCGGCTGGGCTGATTAAATTCCCCTTGACACCACCCTGCCTGATTGCGACAATATCAGCCGTAATCTTTCTTTTTATGGGTAGAGCTAAAGCAGTTAGTGGAAGCGATTCGATTGCCACACTTCACTGCTAGGGAGGGTGCCGCTGAGCCCCCTCTTACGCATCCACTCCACGGACCCGACCTTTGGAAGAGGATATGTCTCGAAGCTCAGGACACACAATAACTCAAAAATCCTGTATCCCATTCAATCGACTGAAAGAATTTACATCCGTTAACTGAGCGTCTGATAAACAAACTGACTTACTGATATTGTTTTTTGGCCATTCCCCTTTGATAAAGTAGAGTTGGCGAATATTGTCGACAGTGGAAACGATCGTATCGTTGGTGATCTCATCAGATGTTAACTCCTTAGCTGGCACGATATGCAGCTTGAGAACCTTCAATCAAGAAGTTTTCTACGCATGGTATTACTGAAGCTATTTGACGCGTATATAGGCATGACATGTTTTCATGGCCCACGGCGCACCAATACTGTAAGGCGATAGGCAGCCGCCGACTTCCCACGCGAAGAGGAAACATCTATGTTTACATCAATTTTACAAATTTAAACAAGCTTTAGAACGAGATCCAGCCAAATTTACCCAATCCTTCGAGCGTCGGCTTACCTAGCCTTATAAGCGCTCTGTTAGAAGGATAAGACACCGATTTGGTATAAGGCCTGGCTTAGGGCGAGTCGCTGACCAGTCTTAAACATATAAAACATTCTGAATTGCTTTAGAATGCGTGCGCCATCCCACAAATGGTTCGCTCAATGTTTGAGCCCATCTACCTTTTTCACGCATTCAGTGTATTCGTTAGCGCTGAGATATGAAGATAGGACGACCACACACGCGTACGTTTCAGGCTTGGTGGGGTACCAATGATACTCAACAATCATAAACAGTTCAGAGATTAGTTAAAGGCACGGTACGCGATCAGCTATAAACTGAAAATATGGCGTTGGGAGGGTAGTGTGGTCCGCGACGAACAATCTGTGCCAGTTTTGCGGCAAAAATTGTAAGGGTGGAATATAGTCCAGCTCCGCCTCCAGGCTCTGCCTTCAAGGCATCTTTCAGTGAAAAACGAAGTTGCAGGGCGAGGAGTATGGGTATCGCCACCTATAGGGGATCAGCTGTGCGGATGAGGGTGTAGTGTTGAATATGAGTTGAATGGGCACGTACGAACTGAGATCGGAATGGGGTTCTATCTAGGGCAGTTTCATGTTTCTTTCTGCTTTTTTTCTTCACTTTTGAGTTACTCTGAACCTTGCCGGTTATATGCAAACCCCTAATTCACTATGATCGCAGCCTTCTGCCTTTGACCTCTATTGAAAAGTACAGCGGAAATGCGGAATCCTGCCCCTTGCCCCCCCCCCTCCCACATTCCTACTACATACCCACAACAACACAGCGACATTCTGGGATAAACGCGGGAACAGGAACGCGCATACATCGTTCTATACTAAGTTCTTCCATTTTTGAATCTCAGCTTTCACGGAGCAAGCAAAGCAGCCCCTCCCACATACCTACTACATACCCACAACAACACAGCGACATTCTGGGATAAAGAGAATAAAAGAGAAGGGTTAAGAAGCAGCAGAATGTCATCGTGTCAAAGTCCCGCACCTGCTCCAGCCACACGCGATCTCTGAGCAATCGCCGCTCGATCTGTTCAGGAATCCTCTCAAAGGCCTCATTGACGGGTGCAAAAAACGTCACCAAACCGCCAGTAGCCGAAAAGTAATTTCTGACGATCTGCCCGATAGTGTTGATGTAACGCATAAGTGTGGTGCATCGATAATTATCCATCAGCAACTGGAAATGAAAGTGGTAAATCGATTTACTGATCAGAGTCCCGGAAGTAAGTGACGATTGATTGATACTGACCTGATCTATTGTGTTCGAGACAATACCGAGAACGTTGTCTACGATGTGAACGACACCATTTTGTACAGGTATATTTGGCACAAGAATCTTTGCCCATACAGCTCCTCGCCGGAACTGCGAGTAGCGCTCATATACCTCTGAGACGGCGTACACTAAAGGAATCATTAGCAGAAAAGGATTTGACGTCACGAACAGGTGGGTATGTGGCAAGAGAATCGTAATTCGCCGCGCAATTGGGCGCCACGTGCGACGTTGCGCCCGCGACAAAGCGGCAATTTACGATTCTCCTGCCCGTCTCCTTGAATAGGTAGGTGCCAATGTATGAAGACTGTGGT